ATTCGGGTCTTTTATACGCCTCCCCTCACCTCCCCCCCACGCGATCAAGTGTAGTACCTGCTTCGGACGGTTTCATATCGATCCTTCCCCCCACACGACCAAGCGCAGTATCTAATCCGTTTAGTTTCATATCTGATGCATGGTCCATCGAAGGGGGAGAGAGAGAGAGAGAGAGAGAGAGAGAGAGAGAGAGAGAGAGAGAGAGAGAACCCAAGTAGTGCCTCGCGCCCCCCCCCCCACCCCTCAACAATCAAGTGCAGTAACTGCTTCGATCAGTTTCCACTAGCGGTTAATGGAAGTCCAAAAATTCGGGGTTTTTAGCCGCATCGATACGAGCAATGTTGTCGAAACTTTTGCAAACAAACTACGCAGGGTCATAATACAAACATCAAAAAAACAAACAGGCAAAAAAGGAAACAAAAAAAAACAAACTCAAGAGCACTATAAAACCCTATTTGGAGTAGCTTTCGGAGTTCGCCAAATCTTTTTTAGAGTCCGTTGTTTTTGCTTAGTTTTCTGTTACTGGTCCAAATGCGATGAAACTGAACACAGATATACCCTAAAGCACACACATATCAGGCAAAAAGAAAAACCAAGAAAAAAGTAAAAATTCAGGGAAATATGCCAGTTTTGGTGGAAAATCCGCCAAAATTTGCGGAATTTTGGGCCTTCCATTAACCGCTACTCTCAGTTTCATATCCTATCCTACCTCCCCGCACGATCAAGCGTAGCATCTGCTCCGTTCGATTTCATATCTGATCTGTGGTCCATCGGGACTTTTTATTTTAAAAAAGAAAAAAAGCACGCGAGCGCGCGTAAGCACAGGGGAGGGGGAGAGAGAGAGAGAGAGAGAGAGAGACAAGCGTAGAATGTTCTCCGTTCGGTTTGATATCTGATCCGTGGTCCGTCGAGACCTTTTTATTTTAAAAAAGAAAAAAAAAAGCACCTGAGCGCGCACGAGAGAGAGAGAGAGAGAGAGAGAGAGAGAGAGAGAGAGAGAGACCAATCTAACCCAACTATGCACCTCCTCCCCCCCCCAACCACACACACACGATCAAGTGTAGTATCTGCTTCAATCAGTTTCATTCCGATCTTCTCACATGATCAAGCTGTAGTATCTGCTACATTCAGTTTCATATCTGATCCGTAGTCCATCGGGACCTTTTTATTTAAAAAAGAAAACAAAAGACCTTGCAAGAGAGAGAGAGAGAGAGAGAGAGAACCTAATCTAACTAGCTATGCGCATCCCCCCTACCCCC